AAATAAATAAATAAATAAATAAATAAATAAAAAGTAAATGTTATTGTTCCCATTTTACGAAAGAAGAAACTGAGGCTACAATAACTAAAACTCAGCTATTACTGATTAGCACATCTAACTTTCAAACTGGAGTCTTTCTCATTTTCATGTCCATGTCCTTTCCCTTACATTGCGGCAGCTCTCTAAAGCTTTGTGCTAGTTTTAAAGGTTTAAATTTGCTTACATGATTATGTACCATCTTTAAACCACTCCAGCCACAACTAAATATGTAATTCCTTCCTCTCCCTCACAGCCCACACCTAGTTATTCCCCAATTCTATGAATTTCTGTGGTGAAGTCTCAAACTTTTTGATTCCTACAGGAGCCACCTACTGGAGAACCTCCTGTCACATTTCTAAACTACCATCTTAACCTCAAAATTTGTTTCTACCCATCTGTACATGCCCTCCACAACAGTTTCATCAAAATGTCATCTTGGATGCCACTTGTTGCATATGCAGAGTGACTACAACTCCTAGTTTGCTGGGAACATTCTCAGAACTTATCTCAGTGTAATTATTAGTACTGCTTCCTTTCACTCCAAAAAGGGTCCTGATTTAGGTTTCAAATTATGTGGCTACCCCATACATGTGGATGAAGAGCCAATGGACGTGTATGAGCTGAGAAATGATACAATCAAACTCCCAGTCCAGTATTTCAGAACTCCCACTATCTACCTTCTAGCTACCTTTCCAAGCGTAATTCATATTACTCCCCTACTTGTATCTTTCCCTGGGTCAGAGTAAACTGCTTGCCATTCACCACTGATGACCTGGTTTTTCCCCCTTAAAACCTCTACCCATTCTCCTTCCCAACATCAGAATGTTCTCCCACCATCTTTGCCTAAAATCCTCCTGCCTCAAGCACCAGTTAAATGTGAAGGGACATATAGGGGTGCAAGAACCAACAGAACCTCAGAAGGGTAGCAATAGAAGAGACAGTGGCAATAGTGGAAAGGAAAGAAGTTAGCCCCATCAAATACAACTGCAGAGATGTCATAGCTGGCTTTGGTGACGAGGAGACAATGAGCATGAGAACGTAGCCTGTTAAAAAAGCCTGCAGTGGCGTGGTAGTACAGGAGAGCCTATGGCCAGTATTTAACGCACAGCAGAGCATATCTCCATGATTCATTAACTATGTGGCCTTGAACAAGTTACAAGTTTCTTCTGCAAAATCTTGCAGGGTGTTGTAAGGATCAAATGAGATAAAAGGCACAAAGTATTTAATACATGGTTGCTGTTATTATTGAGAAGTGAATGGGGCAGCAGGTTAATAGGAGGAGAGGTCCTCTTTCAAAAAGTTTGAAATGAAATGAGGGAAACAAGATTTTCTTCTTAAGGGGGAGGCTTGAGTATGTTGATAAACTGAAGGGAAGGAGAGGTTAAAGAAAAAAAAGAGAAGGAAGGAGTTAACCAAAAGGGGCAAAAGTTTAAGAGGAGCCTGGGCTGAGAGCACATCTCTTCCTCCAAGATTAGAAGGGAGGGCAAGGAAATGTATAGTCAAGATGGCAGGAATCTTACTCCAAAAATGAAGAAGGGTTGTAAAGAAAGTCTGAGGAGCAGAGTGAGGATTAGAATAGCTACCGCGGGGGAAAAGATCAAGTTATAAGATTGTTAAAAGGAGCCAAGTGCTCAGCTGGGGTTGAAAAACATTCACAGCAGGGTCAATCTGCACTGATTTCCAATTTCCCCTGTCTCCTCCTCACCCTCACTTCCCAGCAATGCTCAGCTTTAGAGAAGAACGTTGAGTGAACAGGCATTAGGGACTTCCAGACTAGGGGAACAGGAAATTGAGAGAACTAGTGAGAAAGTCTGAAGTAATCTGATCAGAAGTTCAGGCTGAGTGGATAAAGGTAGAAAGGCAGCTAGTGTATGGGGATGGGATAAGGATTACAAGCAGGCTTTTCACAATAGAGAACTGGGAGAAGATGGGGAGAGTCTTCAGTGGGAAAGCAGGCGCGCAGATGTAGTAAAAGGCTGACAGAAGTGAAAGGTGCCAGCAAAGTGGAGGAGAATTCAAGAGAGGATCAGGTCTGGGTGGAGGCCAGCTCCAAGGCCTGGCTCTGGCATAGACAGCCGAAGAGAACCGGAGTGAAAGCTAAGGGAAGCCAAACTAGGATATTCTGTCCACACTGACAGTCAGTGGAATAACCTAGAAGAATGGAGGGCACTGCTTTATAAAGCAAGACTGAATCAAGTGGCAAAGTCCTCACTGAAGGTGACTGTTGGAGGATATAAGCAGTAATGGAGGGTAGAATGGGGTAAGCCTTAAAGGAAAAAGGATTTTTTGCATAAGGATGGTACCAATTTGCTGCTATAAAATTTGTCCCAAGAGAAATAATTTAATAACATATATGGGGAAACTCTGCTTTAGTAGATAATGAGATAATTATATTTCTATAAAGTCGTGGTTTCTCAGAACCTTAAAACAAGCTAGGAGTTGTTAGTCATTTTAAAGTAGAGGTAAAAATGCCCAACCAAGAATAAAAGTTACTTAGCTACAAACAGATACGTGAGCCCTGAGAACAGGTTACACAACATCATGAATACCCTATTAAGACATGTGAAGAGCAAAGGTCAAAAACAAGGAAACATATACACGTCAGCAGGTTTATTTATTGCACGAACACCAAACAGGAAAAGTCTCTATGCAGATTAGAAAAGTGATCTACTCAAGTAACATGAAAATCAGTGCAAATAATTCTCAGATTACAAATAACTTCTTAAAGCCTTATTCCATTAAACTTAAATGGATGATTTCCATTTATATGAAATGTCCAGAATAGGTAAATCCTTAAAATAAGTAGATTAGAAGTTGCCAGACCAGAGGGGAAAGGGAAATGGGGAGTGACTGTTAATGGGTACTGGGTTTCTTTTTGGGCTGATGAAAATGTTCTGGAAATAGTGATGATGGCTGCACAACTCTTGTTTTGCAGTACTAAAAGCACTGAATTGTATTTACAAGGATAAATTTTATGGTATGTGAACTATCTCTCAATAAAGCTATTATAAAAAAATTAAAGTCAAATTTTAAAATTTACATGGTCTTTTAATATTTACAACAAATTTATTTAAGTAATTAGGCAGAACCATTTAGGTATGAACTTTAAAAAAATACACATAATATGACAAGATACAAGTACTCCAAAAAATACTGCTGGGAGAAAATAAAAGCTATGATAGTCTAAGAGGCAAATATGACAGAGTAGGATTCTAGAACCAATACATTAATAACTTTGGGAAGAATGGTAGAGCTGTGGTAAAATGCACAGAGTACCAGTCCTAGAATTTTAAAAATATGGATTTAATATGCATCTTTTGAAATACTCATTTCATTCTGAGAAAGCCAGTCTTTCTGAGCCCCCATTTCCTCCTACATATATTGGGAACACCGCCTGCCTCACAGAGTTGTAAGAATGATTAAATATGATAATGTACCTGAAAACACTTTGAATGTTATACAATATAAGGTGGTATTAACTCATTCAGACTAAATTGAAATTCAATGCACAAAACTTTAAATGCCAATTTTCAAATTAACTTCAATATTAACAACTTTTAATATGAAAAAGTTTTTAATGATATTCTGATTTTACTTTAAATATTAATGCCATCCTTGACTGTCACTAGAAAAGATACGAGACTAGTTTCTTTCAATTCCAGGTTAAAAAAAAAATCACCAAAAGAGATTAATTATAATTTTCTACCCAATTGTGTCAGGTTTATGATTAAAACATGAACAAAATACAGAAGATGAGTATACTATCTGTAAGCTAATTTAGGAATTACATACATCTCTCTCTCAAATTCAAACAGTGCTAGAAATATAAAGAAGGCTTGACCACATTTTGTAGAATTTCAGCAAGGCCCTGTGCATTACTAAGGATGGACAGTAACAATGCTGAATGTTTCAAGACAATGTTGCTTTACAAATTTTCTCCCCTAAAATCATTAGATTTTCTCTCTATAGCCTTTAAGGTTTTGAAACAGTGATGCAAATTAAAAAAAAATCAAGAAAACATTTTAGAATTTAATACCTGATAATCATAAAAATGGAACAAGACCTTCTGTTTCATGTACTCAATAAAAAGTATATACTGTACTTAAAGTGACAATTGACTGAAAGAAGGTTAAATCTTTGACAAATATAAGTAGTAGGATTTTGTTTTAAGAGTGAGAGAAGGGGGAAGTAAAATTCTTTATTATGAAAAAAGTTGTTTGCATTTGAGTACTGAACTTGCCTATATTTAATTAAGAAAATGAAAATTGACATAATGCCAAATTCAGTCCTCAAAATACTTTTAATTGAAATTGTTTCAAAAGCTATACACAAGAAAGTGAAACTTTTAACACTGTGATTTTAAAATTACTTGCTTAGTAATGTTTTACAGAGAAAAATTTAAATGAGTTTCAGCCACGTATAAAGAAGAGGGTGGAGAAACAATGAATCATTACCATAGAATTCTGACTTGTAAGCTTCAAATGATGTGGCAGTGATTTTTATTTCTGATAGGCTTATCTTTTGTCTCAATTCTTGCTTGAAGTGCAAGGAAAAGAAGATTAAAATGTACGTTATTTAAGCTGCTAATCTTCCTAATTACTGAAGGTGCTTCTCTAACATTTCTAAAACAAAGGCAAAGGCAACAACTTCCTTTTCTGCAAACTCAGAAAATGCCAATGAACTACAATCTTAAATTTCAAAATATTTTGGTAATGAATGCGAATCCACTAAAACAATATTAGCTATACACATTGCTTTGCTCTATCGGCACCACTAATTGGTTGACAAATTGTAAAATCTCCTTTATCCTTCATCTGTAAAATGAAAATACTACTTACTGCCTTCCTTAGTGGATTGTTGTGCGAATAGCTAGCGCATTACATAGTGGTCAATAAATGTACCTTTTCTTTCATTTGCTTCAATGTGACTTAGTCTTAACTGGTATTTAACACTGAACACAGGACATTCTTCAGAATTAGACACGTGGTATGGTATATGAACCTTAAAATATATTAGGTTTAATTTTTCAAGATAAAAGGATTTCTTCATCTCATTTTACCCACTGTATCAAATACCTTAAATTCCTGACGAGTTTGGTTCTTCCGACCAATGATGTCCGTTTTCGAGGTTGTCAAAACAAATATCTTGTTGAAAAATCTTGAATAATTTATAAATCATTACAGTTTTCCCCCAATAGTGTATCTTTTCCCCACTCAAATGGGACTTGTGCATGGCAAAACGTTAACTACAATACTACTAGTAAGGAAGCTCGGTTGACCCCTACACTAATCGGAGGGCTGAAAAACAACACGCCGTGACACAGCCTTTTGAGCTGTCATCAAAGATTCCCGCTGCCTTCACCTTACCAGGTGAGGAAACTGAGGCCGAGGGGAAGGAAGGGCTTGCCCGCAGTTTAGAGGCATCTCGTTCTTTCCTGAAATAACCCAATGTTTGACAGCATTGGTGTCCTACCGGAGGACCACCACAGCGGTCCCCGTGGGTCAGAAAGGAAGTTATTCTGTCTCTAGACTCCTGATTTCGGGGCAGAAAACAGGCGCCCCTTCCTCTCCCGGCCACAGGCAGGGACCCCAGTGGGCCCAGACTCCAAAGGTGCGCCCTCCCGGGGGTTCACAGCTGCCGCCCACCTGTTCTCCAGGGAGGAAAGGCCCCGCGGCTCACCTGCGATTGGAGAGAACGCAATTCTTTGCTTGGGGTCAGCCCTACACCCTCGAGACCGAACTGCAAAGCGCGATGGCTGCCGCGGACCCAGGTCGCGTCAGCTCCTTCCGGGCCGGGGGTTGCTTCACTCCCTACTGTCCGCAGGACCGAAGAGCCGAGCGACCGAAGTTCCGCCTCCTAGGAGTTCTGCCACCAATTCCCTGGCTGAGCTCGCCAGCGGGCCTGGCTGGCCTCCCCACATGCGCTCGAAGGGTCTTCAGGGGCCTGAGGGCATGGGCGGAGAAGGAAACATCGGTCCCCAGTTTGGGGAAATTATCCGTGACAACGTTTTTTAAGAATACACTTTTAAAGTACGCCTGTTTCTTACATTAACAAGTGATTTACAAAATGTGCCAGGTAATGTGTTGGATGCTGGGTATTGAACTTTAAACAAGACTGTCTTGACTGCAGTTCTTGCTAATAGATTAGCGTTACCTTCCCTAAATGTGTTTAAATGGGAATGTTCGAGGGCCTTGAATGGAAGTGTGATGACAGTGCTTCCAAGATTGCTCTTGTCCAGATACGAATGTCCAAACTTGTAGAGAATTTTTATAAAAATGTATTTGAGCCAAACAGAGGATACACCTGGAAGAAAGACCTCAACAGATTGAGAAAAATGCTTCATAGAATGACAGTTTGTAGGTTTTTGGTTTTTTGTTTTTGTTTTTTTTCCCTTCATGCGTTTGGAATTAAGGAGAGCAAGTCAGGAAGATTAAATGAAGGTGGGAGAAAGCAAGATGGAGATTGGATTACTGGATAGTTAACAAAATGATTTGTTCCCTTGAGGGTGGTTATGCCTTGGAGGGGCCTGAAAAAGGATTTCTCTGATATTTCAAAGAACAGTGGACAGGGCTTGCTTAAAGCAAAGAAACCTTTTACTAATGAAATTATATGTCTGGGCCAGCCGAGTGGCGCATTGGTTAAGAGCTGGCTAGGGACGCCAATTCTGAGCAGCAGAGCCCTGGTTCGGATCCCACATGGGGGCCAGTGACACTGCCCTCTACAGCTAAGATGGTGAACAACAGCTTGACCTGGAGCTGGGCTGCCGTGAGTCGCTGGCGACAGCCGACATAGGCTGCAGCCCCTGCTGCAGTGGGCTGTCATAAAGCTACTGTGAGTGGCTGGCAGCCAGCATGAGCAGCTGGTAGCCAGCAGTCTACATGAGCTACCAAGAGCCACAGTGAGCAGCCGTCAAGAGGCCGGCAACCAATCTGCCTCATCCGGGAAGAGCGCAATGATAATACCAACATGGCCCAGTGAAGCAACATCCTCCACAACTAATTGAAGAACAAAAGGATAGCAACTTGTCTGTTCCCCTTTCCCCAATTCCCCAATAAAATCTTAAAAAACGAAAGAAAGAAAGAAAGAAAGAAAGAAAGAAAGAAAGAAAGAAAGAAAGAAAGAAAGAAAGAAAAAAAGAAAGAAAGAAAGAAAGAAATTATATGCCTGGGGCGTGACTACCCACCATGACCTGCCCAGTTAGGAATTTATGATCAGAGCACCCTGTGAAGTTACTTTCAGTAGAACCCCTTTTTGATCTGCACTCTCATGCCTAGGATTTTAGTTGATGGGGACAGAAGGAGGAGCTGTTTGGGAAATGAAGCAATGTTATTCAACAGATTCCCAACAAAGCCTGTAACTGGCCCTGCTGGATCTTCTCCTCTTTCTTCTCCACCCTCAGGAAATGCCCCACTCCATGTGTCCTCCTTTTGCTCTTGCCATTCCTTCTGCCAGAAAGGCATGTTAGTAGGAAAAGTAAAGGTGATATCAAAGTTAAAAGTTTTAACTTGGATTAGTGAGTCTACTCTCTGTCTCCACTATAAGCACCTTGCTGCAGGCCATCATCATCTCTGGCCTGGGCTACTGTAACAACTCCATTCTTTTCCCTCCAATCAATTATCCTCACAGCTGTTGAACTAACTTTAAAAAATGGATTCCTCTTAAAGCATGAATTTGATCAAATTACTCCCGTTTACAGTTCTTCAATGGCTTTCCAAAGCATATAATCTCCTTACAATGCCTTATAAGTTTCTTGTTGCTCAGGCCCCCTCTACTTCTCCAATCTTATTCTCTGCCATTCTGCCTTGCTCACCACAACAAGCTCATTTCTACCTCTGGGCATTTGTAGGTGCCTTTCCCTTTGCTCAGAGCCCTTCTTTTCCCCATCTTCTTTGTATAGCTGGCTTTCTCATCCTTTAGATCACAGCTTAAATGTCACCTTCTGTCTTAACAATCCTATCCAAATCAAGTCCGTGCTTGCTATTCTCTGTCTCAGTACTAATACCTCAATAGCACTTAAACAAATTTTAACTTAAAATATATATTTATTTGTATATTTATTTTGTTTCCTCCACTGTAAACTCCAGAGAAGGAAGAGGGTTTTTTTGTCTTGTTCTATTTTTGCTTGTTTAGCTCAGTGCCTGACATGTAAAGGCATTTAATCAATATTTGTTGAATATATTAATTAATCAGTGAATGCAAGAGCTAGGAGGACATTCAACAGACAGTATGATAAAAAGATAGGTTTACAGGGAAAGTTGCACCTCAGATCTCTGCTACTATGGTGCCAGGGTGTTTGTAGAGGAGATGGGGGCAGAGGAACGTATTTGGGGTTAAGAAAACAAAATTGGCATTTGATATTTACCTCCCATATTGCCCAGGGAAGATGGGGCTTGACCAGAGACTGGTACTATTTCAGTTACACTGTTAGGTCTGCATTAGATGGGACACAAGGTTGCATAATATTAAGAACCTAAAAGAATTAGAGACTGACATAGTTTAGAAACAAGTGCTAGATGTGGTTTAGACTGTAAGTGCAATATGAACTTGTAATAGTGAATTCATGAGGGTCAAATAGTCAGAATAGAAGACTGGAAGAGATGACACTTTAAATTTTATTCATTTAAAAATGTTCTTTGGGGAGCCAGCCGAGTGGCACGTTGGTTGAGAGTTGGCCAGCTCTGAGCAGCAGGGCCCCGGTTCTGATGCCACATGAGGGCCAGTGACACTGCACCCTCTGCAGCTGGGATGGTGAACAATGGTTCGACCTGGAGCTGGGCTGCCGTGGGTCGCTGGCGAAGGCATAGGTTGCAGTGGAGCTGGCCAGCAGCTGGCGTGCACTTTCTTGAGCTGTTGTGAGCAGTCATCCAATGGCTGGCGAGTGACTGCTCACCTGGGAAGAGCACAGTGATAATACCAACATGGGCCAGTGAAGCGACGTCCTCCACAACTAGACTGAGGACAAAAGGACAGCAACTTTGTCTGTTCCCCTCCTCCAACTCCCCAATAAAATCTTTTTATTTAAAATGTTCATTGGGGAGGCTGGGTGGCTCAGTTGGTTAGAGAGCGTGCTCTGAATGAGGTTGCCGATTCAAATCCCACATGGGATGGTGGGCTGCACCCCCGCAACCTAGAGTGAAAATGGCGACTGGACTTGGAGTTGAGCTGTGCCCTCTGCAATTAGATTGAAGGACAACAACTTGGAGTTGATGGGTCCTGGAAAAAAGTTATCCAATAAAAATTTTTAAAAAATGTTCATTGAATACCTGTTAAATGTGAGGTCCCAAACCAATTGCTAAGAATACAAAGGTGGATAGGACACAGTTCCTGGTCTCTATGCTCTGACAGTCAAAACAAGGAGGCAGACATGAAATCAAAATGATACCTTTAGAACTGACAGGATATGTGTAGAATTGTATTCCACTGAAGAAAGATAAACATAGACCCAAATATATTGGGTTGTCGGAAAAGTCATGACGTATTTTTTCTGTTTTTCGTTGTAAAAATGCGTCATGACTTTTCCAACAACCTAACATAATGATTAGAAGTGCTATGGGGCAAAAATCTGGGTCAGAAGGCTAGAGAGTGAGCAGGGAGAGTATGCTGTTGTATAGGGTTTTCAGAGAAGGGCTTGTCAATAAGGTAACATTTGAATAAAGGCTAAAGGGGTGAGAGACTGAGTTACGTAGGTGTCTTGAGGAAGAGGAGCCCAGATAATGGAAGTATGTGTAAAAGGCTGGCTTGTGCTGGAGTAGCTAGAGAAATGGCAAGTGTGTCTGGAGTAGAGTGATGGAGAGGGAGTATGGAAGATGAGGACAGAAGGGCAGCAAGGCCAGGTCTTGAGTGGTATGGGTAGGACTTTGGGTTTTACTGAGCATGAGATGAGAAAAGCCATACAGAAAACTTGAACTTGATGGAGAAGGCACAGGGAACAACTACAGGGTTTGGGGTACAGGAAAATAAAAACAAAATCAGTATTTAGGAACTCAATTAAACATGTAGGCTAGATTGGAGAGAGAGAAACCAGAAAGACTATTCCAATAGTTCAAGTGCAAGATGATGAAAACTAACTAATGGGCAACGAGAATGGGAAGAACTACATAAAGATGAAGTTTTCAAATGGGATTTACTGGTTTGGTATGAGAACAGTGTACTTCTGATGTAACTTTAGAGCTACTAACTTCAGATTCAAACAGATGTCCTGGCAGAGGCAAATGAGGCCAAAGGAACTGTTTCTAAAATAGAGCCACAAGACAGTTTCAGAACAAATGTGTTTATAATTGAAATCATTTTTTTTTGGTTTGTTTGAAATAGAAAAATTTTTAAAAATAATTAGTAACCCTAAAATAATTTTCTCCATTCTGAAAAGTAAACAAAATTGATCCTGTTTATTAGCTGACAATTCAGTAGTCATGAGCAGGCAGGCAAAGGGGCCCTGGTGTGAGCCTAAATCCACTTCTATGTATCAGCAAATTTTATCAGGAATGACTGTCTCCCTCTTTTTTTTTTTTAAGATTTTTTTATTGGAATTGGGGGGATGGGAACAGTGCTGGGGAATTGGGGGAAGGGGAACAGACAAGTTGCTGTCGTTTTGTTCTTCAATCTAGTTGTGGAGGAT